GTTAAAAAAAAAAAAAAAAAAAAAAAACTGAAATAGCTTGTAAGTACCAGTTTCCTGCCACAATGATGAGACCACATGAAACTGACCAAGTGGTTTATCACTTTATTTAAAAATAAATACATTTAGAATAGTAATTTATGGTTATATTAATTAAGGTTTATATTTATCATCTCAAAAGAGCATGTTTTTCTGTGTGTGCCAGAGCTGTGAGTTGTCCAGTAAATATTTCAATATGGTTCGTTTTGAATTGTGAACTGTTTTTTTTTTTTAATGATAAAGATAGTCAGACCATATGAATGAGCTTCTTTTTCGGCACAGCTTAGCTCAAATGTTGGAATCTGAGTTCAGCAAAATGCATCCTAGATAGACAATGAAGATAATGCTTCCATCAAGGCAGAGTAGGTAATTTCCTATCCTGAGCAGAAGGCACAGTCAACCATTTTTTCTTGGCACTTTTAGTGAATTAAGTCACATAATTTAAGAAAGAAAAAAAAACAGTCACAGAAGCATTTAGATTGCACCAGTGCCAACCCTCCAAACCTGAGCAAAATTTATTTTGTTGAATGAAAAAATACATTTTAGTGGATGATGAAACTGTTTAACCAGTGGAAATGGGAGACAAATCATTTTGTGCCCAATAGATGGGACTAAACAGTGCTTTTCTGGTTGGTGTCTGGCCGTCCGGTTTCTAGAAATCACTTTCGCTCTCTTTCTTTTTCCCTGTGTTCCCTCCCAGCAGGGCTTGTTCTTCTAGCCTCTTTCTTCTTTATAATGTTTTCTGCTTTCTTCTGAACCTTCTCCTCTGTTATTGGCCTAATTGGCTTACTTTAGTTGACTGCCCCATGTCTTTGTATTTTTGCAGTAGCATGTGCTTTTGTGCCTATGTGAGCAGAGTGCATAACCGCTCATCCAGTGGCTTCCAACGCCAAAGCACGGTCTCTTCTGCTTTGTCTCTGCTATGCTCTGCCGTGCTCTAGTCTATGTGACTGTAAATAACGTCTTCTCATCTGGAGGACGCCCGCTGTGCTTGCTCACCGAGCCGTAAGACTGACCAGCGTTTGTTATTTTAAGCCGCATTTGGAGTGCTGGTGCCATGTTACACTGGAGCAATGCAAACACAATGACACGGGAGTCATTTGCCACATTGGCAGACTCATCTAAGAAGGACTGAATTCAGAGGTCAGGGGACAGTTCAGTAGCTGATGTGAACAGCAGAGGGCGCATTGTTGCACCAGAATTCTTTTTTCAAGGTTTTGGTTTGTGGTGGATCTCACAGTTTTGTGAATTTAGGATATGGAAAATTTGGGGCAGAAACTAAAATATAGGTTTTATATTGACCAGGGTTGAGATTTTGAGCCCCATTCATGGAGATCTGAACACAATTATGCCAAGACATCACAAGCATGTTTTTCAGACTCTTGCAGTTTCAACAAGCACACGACTAGACACTGATTCAAAACTAATTTTACAGTGAAACGAAAAAGAGCTCTGTTTAGTCTCTTGCAGTCCAACAGCAGAGAGTTCATACCACCTGCTTGAGAAAAGATTAGATTGAGTCTGATCCGGGTTGGTGAGCTTAATTCGGTTTAATGGCTTAAAAAGAACATTTAATCTTTTTGCTGAACCCCTGGAATGGTCATCGATTTTTATGTTTCTTTTTTTTTCTTCTTTTGCTCCAGATTAGTATTCTACCTCCACCATGGGCTGTTTTCACTGCTCTGATATTCGTCTCTCTCTTTCCTCCCTTCTAGAGCGTTTGGGTGACCTGTCCCTGTTGCATGCTTTCATTTACTGGGCAGCAGGATTAGTGGCTCAGCTTCCCCCCAGGGGAAGAGGGTCTGTTTTTGAAGGAGCCTCTGTTCTCTGCCTTTTCTCCAGGTTTAAACAGTCTGGATTAGAGTGCCCTCATGGCCAAAATGCCTCAGCTAAAACAAGCAAGAGAGAGGGACACACACACACACACACACACACACACACACACACACACACACACACACACACAAAATCAGGTATTCATGCTCTTATGATATATTTGACTGCCAAGCTTACTGTAAGTCAAGGTATTCAAAAATTTTGAATGAATTTAAGATTTGGTTTACAATTAGTATCAAATTATACAATTGCATAAATCTATCTATCTATCTATCTATCTATCTATCTATCTATCTATCTATCTATCTATCTATCTATCTATCTATCTATCTATCTATCTTTCTATCTATCTATCTGTCTGTCTGTCTGTCTGTCTGTTTGTCTGTCTGTATGTGAACCTCTGAGCAGTTGTATGTATAGATATATAGCTAGATAAATAGGCATCAGTTTTATTTCTCGGAGTTTGCATTAACTTTTAGGAGACATAATGAAGTTTTCAGTAATGCTTTTAGAGAAATAATAATAGAAACAAATGAGACATTGTGTGTGGATAGAATACCTTAATTTGGTCCTGGATAAAAATTAGATGGGAAATGTTTGAGTTAATATCCAAATGTTTGACTTTTGGTGTTGTTCCAAACAGTTTCTGTGGAAACAAAAGAAGATTTTTTTTTTTCAAAAGTTTCTTTTAGCGTTGTAAAGCACTTTGGTCAACACTAGTTGTTTTTAAATGTGCTATACAAATAAACTTGTATTGTATTGTATTGTATTTTTTTTTTTCAAAATCATGTTTTTTCTTTTCCTTTATTTTTTTTTTGTTTCTTCATTGGTTGGATCCAGCGTTCTTTGGGACCCCATTTACTTAAGGTTAAAAATGTTTTCGTCCAAACATTCTTCAAAATATCATATTTTATGTTCTGCAGTAGAAAGCCAGGCATATGAGTTTGGAACAATGTGAGGGTTTGTCATTTATTTGTCAAAATTACTGCTGACAGAATTTTCTTGATGAACTATACCTTTGATATCTCCTCGAAACTCTTGAGTAGATATTTGAGATTACTAGTCTTTCTTTTAGGAGAATAACTATAGATATATTTATTGATTACACTTGTTTAAATATATAATGAGAACAGGAATCATAATATAATTTTATGATTAATCACATCAGTGTAATTGGATTGTTTTTATCACCATCATTATTTTGTTCATGACCTTGAGCTGAAGTGGACATTGATTGGCTGCCTCACCGCACTAATTCACCTCTATTACTGGGATTACTGATGGCTTTGTGCTGTGTCGCACACCGATGTGCAATCATAAAAAAATACCTTAATTTCTCACCGTACACACCATTATTACTGCAAACGAACAAAGGCTGAAGGCAAATGATTTTCTGGACACACAATGGCTCAAGCCAGATAATTGATTGCCAATATTATTTGCAGTGAAATTAAAATGGGTGAAAGAGGTAGGGGTAGACATATAGCTATTGATTTTAGGACATCATCAGCCTTAAATGGTGCACAATGGCCTACAAACAGTGTGAATTGGCAGACTGCTGTAGTTTCTTTGTGAAAAAGGATCATTTTACATGATCGGTTATTTGTTTTGGTTGAGCGCGGGTCGTTGTTTGGGCTCTATCTATTGTTTTTGTAAAGGAATCCTTCCTGGGACATGCTGGGCTGGTGACCTGTATTCACTGGGATGCCCTCTTGTTCTGTGGACCCAAAGCATTGCCCTGTTAGCTACAACTACTTCTGTCTCCAACAAATGAGCTGCTCTGTCCTCCCTTTTTAACTCTCTCACTCTCTGGATTCTGTTTCTACAAATTAACGCCTCTGACACTCATGTTCGGCTACCGGTTCTCTCACTGGAAGCTCATTAGCAGGCTAGTCAACACAATGGAGCCTGACTCTAAACGTCACGCTGTGCGCTCCACTCTCCCTGCGGTCTTGCTGGGTCCCAGTCTTGACCTTTTATTTGTTTTAATTGAATTCATCTGTCTGCCTCCGGCCTCAGCTTCTCTCTTTTTTGCGTGGTTTGGAGAGGCGATTGTGCTCGGAGAATCGCCGCCTTGCCGCAGTGCTAAACAAACAGCAGGGTTTTTCAATTTGCCCGGCTCTGTGTTATTGACCAGGTCACATCTCTCAGTGCATCCGTCCCACATGCTTAGAGTCTCTGTTTTCTGTTTGTCGGAGCTGATGGTGGGCTGTTTGCTCAGCTCATCTGCACTGGCGCCTCCTGCGTGGTGGGTCAAACGACGGTTGGATTT